CCAACTAGCTCCCATCCACTGTCCACTTCCTTCTCTCAACAACGTCTTAATATTGAACAACTTTTCCTTTAAATCCTCTTGCTTCTTCCAAATGAGAAGTGTAGAGGGCATCAGCTTGGGTTCTGGATGTGCTTGCCTTTTTGTGGGATATATGGAACATTCCAGACCGACTCAGGCCTCCTCCCTCAATTTCTCCATTCTTTAATGAATATCGGTGCCATTTCCTTTTCAGAGACTGAGCTGGGAAATTTTGTCCACTGTGCTCCCAATATCTATCCTTTTCTCACATTCAACTGATCTAGCTCCAACTCTCTTCCCTTTCCTCTCAACAAATATTCACTATAAGGCCATTGATTCTTGTAGTTACCTTGATGACACTTCTTTGTACCCTCTTTCCTATAATGAATCTATTTCATTCTCCCAGTTCCTCCGCCTTTGTTGCGTCTGTTTGGGCAATACAATCGTGCATGCCAGTGCTTCCAATAAATCTCCTATTTTCTCAACTAGGGATTCATACTCTTTTCCCACTGTAGTTGGCAGTGCCCTTGACCACATCCAATTTTTTTTTCTTTCGTACCCTACTCCTGTTCTCAGTCCTGTTCCTCCTTGCCAGAACTGTAATAGGGTTTCCTTTGTTCTTCATCCATCCCACCAGTATTTATTGAATTAAGTTGTATCATTAGGCATGAAGCCACAGCCAAACACATTTTTCCTCTTCCCTCCCTTTTCACAGAATAAAAGAATTGTTATGGCTGAAAAGGTGGCTTTCGGCCCACCATACCTGCACAGGCTCTTCAACATGCATCATTACCTAATGCCAATCTCTTACTTTTTCCCCATGCCCTTTCTATTCAAATAATTATCCAATGCCCTCTTTAATCCCTTAATTAAACTTGCCTCCACCACACCTCAGGTCAGTGCATCCATACCCTAACTGCTCACTAAGTGGAGGTAAGAAAAATTCTCACGTCACCCTTGCTTTCTTTGCACTTCACTTTTAAATCTATGCCTTCTTGTTCATTTTACAAGTGGGAACAGCATATCCTTATCTGATCTATCCAGCCTATTCCTGATTATGAAAACTTCAATCAAATTTCCTGTCAGCCTTCTTCTCTCCAAGGAGAACAGTCCTAACTTCTTCAATCTATCCTCACCACCTGAATTAGAAGGGCCTTTAAAGCTTAGAGAATTTTCCATAGTAGAATTTGAAATTTATAATCTGGTCTTCTACATTCTTGCATGAAATAAGACCTTATAGATGCATTTTTCTCAACATCTATCTTTAAGTGTATAATTCTTTCCAAGCAGAAAGGAAATTCAGTCAGAAGAAATGGTTGGTCATGATGCATCTGAAGATGCAAGAACAGCTCTGGAGTTGGCACAATATTTCATCAACCAGGGACCCATGAAGGTGTGTTAACAATCAAAAATTGTAAGTGTTAGTTTTGATCAGTGGGAGTAATCTTATTTGGATTTTATAGACTTGATGCTGGCATTTTCCTCTGCATTGATCAGAACACCACTAAAGCAAAGTATGCAAATTAATTATAAAACCCTGGAGATGAAATTTTAATTAACCTGCAAAAATAGGACCAAATGTAGGTGTGTAAGGGTTGCTAAAATAGGGCAACGGCTTAATGCTGGGGACACAGCATTGCCCTGTCATTGTTTGCATTAATCAATGCCACATTTGAACTTAAGTAGGAAAACCCCTGGTGGCACAGGCAATTCTGCGATTCAAATATGCGGAAAGGCCAATTTCTGAAATTTGGCCCTACAATTCTGGTTTTAAACGTCAGCAGATGGATTTCCCCAGCGTCTAAGGCTTTATGTAATGATCTCGCCTGCCTCTCTGCTGTTATTGGTCAGGAAACCCAGAATGGGAGGTTACTACTGTGGCCAAGTTGAAGAGATGCGAACAAATTCACTCTATGACTTCTTGTGTTTCTGACTTGCAAATAGCCTCCCCGGCAGCTGCAAAGGTTAAACTTCTGCAACTGTGATAGCTGTATTTTGGAAGCAGCAAGTATTTTTTTTTAATACCAGAGTCACTTAAAGCTTTACATGATGTGAAAGCTTCCCAGAAATTACAATGCTGCTTATTTCAGGCAGCAGCAGAGACTGACTTTGCCTGAAATTGTGATCTCTAGCAATTCGCACAAATTCCTATAACTCTCAGGTTGGAAAATTGGCGCAGAGAGATATTGTAAGAGCAGTTAGAAAACTAAGGGTATGCACAGAAGTGACTATGTTTTCATTATTTTAATGCAGAAGCAGAAATCGAAATGTATTTAAATATCACTTCACCGATCAAGTCTGCAGTTTTTCAACATGCCTCCATTGTTAACAATCTGGCAACTATAGTAGATCGGACCACAAATTCTGTTAGTTTTTTTGTTTCTCTTGATGAAATATCTTTGCTCTTCAGTTTTAGAGGTTGTTGCGTTATTATATTGTAGTAATTGGCTGCTTTTTCTGAAATTATCTTCCTGATGCACAGTGCTGAAGGTTGAGTCTTTGTCGTCACCTAGTTGAATACCATGGAACCTCAAGGCCTCATGGAAGGAAACACTGATCCAATTTATCTTGTTCTCCTGCTGTTTAGGGAGCAGCAGGGGGCAGAAGTATCCCAAATAATGTGGATTTTGGTGCAGGTTCTCATTAACATAACTCCTTTGCAAAGAATGTACTTTTAGTTGGCAGGAAACCTTATTGCACTTTTCATTCCAGCTGTTTTTTTTTATGTAACTTAAGGCGACTTGGGTGGCAGAAGTGTTTCTTTATCTTGGGATGATCATATCACCTTGTGCTCTGCATAGTCACTACTTCTTTTGTTTCAAATACATGCTTTGTATCTTAAGATATCCACATTTAATGTCAATACAGAGTACACCCCACTATTTAATTGTTTTAAAACTGTCTTTTCGCTTAGTTGCCTGGCATTTGCCGTTGTAAGTAGCTGCTGGGAGCATGGAATCAATTGTGGTGAATGTAAATGGTCTTGATGAGCAGCGTTTTAACACCTCCAATGAATTAGCAGGTTTATTTGAAATCAAGTCATCTTTATGTACAGAGCCCAGAATATTTAAATTATCTATCTGTGCATTGGGTGTAGTTCATTAAAATTCAGCTAATGCTTTGGTTACAGGTAGCAAAGTTGAATCTGGAGAATTTCCAAGGTAAACAGCCAGCAGGAGATAATTTCACAACACAGCCTGAAGGTAGAAGTCAGACAAACAGGCTGTCAGATTACCTGAAAGCAAACTGCAGCAAGGTAGATGGATTTTTAGGCAGACCATCCTTCCATTGTGGCAGGTTAGTTCATGATATTTTATCACTTCGAAAGAATTTGTATTTAGACTGTTCTGTACTGAGAAACCACAGATCTTTTAACAGCATGATGCTGTATAAAATGAAGTTCCCCTGGATTTGCTTGCACAATCTTTTAATTTCACGTACAGTGTAGTGCTTCAATGGAGAGCTGTGACACTGGGCATGCAGGAATCTTGAGTTTTTACTATCCCTTCAGGGGAATGATAGTTAGATAACAAGTTTCTGCTTAAAGCATTTTCTGGAGTTCTTCCTCTTTTCCTCCAAAGAAATTCTGCAATCATTTTCTTACAGGATGAAAGTGCATGGAAAGTGTACTGAAGTTAACACTGCCAGCTACTAAAATCTGAATAGTCCAGTATCTAATGTATTTGGCATTTATTTTTGTCTGACGTGCATAACAACCCATTACTATCTTGAACATTCTTTGAACAAAAATGCTGAGCATTACGCCACCTATCAGGACAGTGACTTGCTGAATGCAATGAATCCCAACCCCAAGGGCCTGGTCCATCCTCCAGGTTCTGTCAGTGAGTTAAAGTGCCACAGATCTGCCAGATTGTGGTGGTTTATCTTCCTTGCAAACATTTATCAGCATGCGTGCCTTCTAGCAGCAAGCCTGACTTCAGACAGATCTTGATTACCATAACCTTCCTCACCCCACCCTAATGAGAAAATGTTTATCTTCCTGTTCTTCCTATTATAAGAGATAATAAATGCTAACAACCTGTCACATTACTCAATCATAACCATCCCATTAAACCTTTAAAGTGTTAACACTGAGTATGGCCTTATAAGGTGATGGCAAAACATCTTCATTCTTTCTTAATATAAATTAATGATTTAGTGTTTATTAAAATGGCCACTCAGAATGTTCTTTGTTTGATTTATTAGTCTTTTTGTGGGTTGGTTCTTAAATTTTATTCCTTCATGGGGATGTCATGGGCTTGACCAGCTTTTATTACTTGTCCCTAATTCATAGTTAAAGCACTGACTTAGCAGAGGTCAGTTAACTCAATACAGTGAATCAAATTTAGCACTATCAAGGCTTGTATATTTCAGTTACACACTGATGAATTAGGGAGAACAGGTTTTGACAATCCATAATGACTACAGTGCTAAAAATTTATCTATGTCATAAATGGGTAAAGAGCAAAAAGAGCAAAATATTTACCTCTGTAACAAAAACAGAAGTAGCTGGGAAAGCTCAGCAGGTCTGGCAGCATCTGTGAAGAAAAAATCAGAGTTAACGTTTCAGGTCCAGTGATCCTTCTTCAGAACAGTTCCAAAGCAGCCCTCACATCAGAATACTTTTGATATTGCATGCCACCTTTGAGTTCTCATTTATTTATTCTCATTCTATTTTGCAATAGTTCAAATAAGAGTATTATACTCAAGGCAAATTACTTTAACTCACTCTGCAACAAAAGTCGTATAGTGCTCTCTGATATTAGTTTAGAGGAGGCAATAATGGATGTGCAATGCAAGTAACAAGAATATCTTTTCTTCCATCTAGTTTGGTTAACAAATTGGGTACACATGATCAGAAAGCAGTTCTACTAGGCACAAGTAAAGCAATGAAGGAGCTGATTCATCAAGAAGCCTGGCATAAAATTGAATGTAAAACAGACAAGGAGGTAAGTGATATACCAGCTATATACCAGTATATAACCAGAGATTTCTGTTCAGAAATCTTTGAGAATTCTTTCCATGACTGTAAATGGACATGATATATTCAACCCTCTACATGAGCATAACTAGTTGATCAATACAATTAGAATCGGTTCTTAAAATTCTTCTGTTTGTGAACTTCCCTTGACAACATGAACAACTGTGGCAGAACTGACAGTTACACTATCCTATAAGGACAACAGCTTAACTTATTTGAACATTTTTTTTGTGTTGGTTGTATTTCTGTATGTATGCAGTATCATGAATTTTTTACAATGATGAAAGTTCTTATTAATGTTATCATAGTAAATAATATCACATGGTACGGCAAGGCCAAATTTGCTATCGACGTCAAACAGCATTAAAACAAGAGGGATAAATAGATCTTGTGCAATGAGGGAGGCGGATGTAGCATGGGAAGGGAAAAAAAGAAGTAAGTGTAGAACAGAGGACAGGAAGCAGGACGGGAGAGGAGTGGGGCAGTTTTGAAGCCCAGGGATCCAAAGGCAGAGAAACTGGGAACAGTACCAAACTAGCTTTGTGCAAACTCAGCAATGGTGTAAAATGATAATTCCTTTCAGCAGAGAGTTGAATTGGCATACCTCTGTGCGAGGGATGAAATTGGTGGAACATATTTAAAACGGGCTTTTCTAGCTAGGTGTCAATGGCAACTGCTTTCAGGGCTACTGAGTATGGCAGATTCCACTCAGGAAAGTGAGAATGCTAAGTGATTTTGAGCAAGAGTTAATGCCTACTGACTTACTACTGCTAAACACAGTAACTTTTCCTTAGCTCAAAAGTTACTTCTATTCTTGATAACCATTATAAAGGCTTATTGCTGTGCCTTCTACAAGTGTGACTGGAACTGCAAACAAGTATGGATCCTCTTATAATTGATGTTCTCATTGATGTAGGTACAGAAAGTTTTTACCAAGTTTTAAAATAGAATGCATCGGCCATTTGATTGTAATTCATGTTTTTCATGTAGATCGTTTGGTTTAATGACCTGAAAATATCTAAAGTTGCAGTATTTTCTCACTGTTTACTTGAAATGTCCTCAGACTATTCTTGAATATGTTTTCTGCAGGTTGTTCAGCAAGCTCAGACTGAGATCCCAGTTGCCTCGTTAAGTTTAAGTCACTTTACATCTTATTCTGAATACAGTGAGTGTAATCTAAATATGAAGATTCATGAGGGATTACTACACGAAAAGGTACGACATTACAATAGCAGATCTCTGTACAGTTATTTAGTTTTATCACAGCATATTGTGTCAAAGTGAATATATTCTGCAAAATTCTTATTTATTTGCATAAACATGCAAACATGCACGGCATCAACTTTAGGAATAATTTGGCTATTAAATAACTAAGAAGTGCAACTTTATTATTATACATATTTTCCTCATTTGTCACAGTCTTTTGCAATCACCAGTAAAAGAATATGAAGATTATCCTGAACTAGAGCCAAATGGTTATATCCTGCTAGCAATACCCTCCTATAATTGAACTCTGGAGGCCACCTATGGTTCCAATTATAATTTCATGAGCAAACTGGAGGGGCTGCTAAAATGATCCAGCGTCCAGGAAGGGTGGCACAGTGGTTCAGTGGTTAGCACTGCTGCCCGACAGTCCCAGGGTCCTGGGTGTAATTCACTCTCACTCTGTGTGGAGTTTGCATATTCTCCATGTTCAAGTGCTTCAGTTTCCTCCCACAGTCCAAAGATGTGCAGGTTAGGTCAATTATCCATGGGAAATGCAGGGATAGGATAGGGGCATTAGTCTGGGTGGGATGCTCTTTGGAGGGTCAATGTGGGCTGAATGGCCTGCTTCTAGACTGTACGGATTCTATGATTCTAAATGTGAGGCAGCTTCTGTGATTCTAAAATTGATGAGTTTCTTTGGCTTTTTATAAGGACTTAATGGGTTTTTGCGCGTGTTTTATTTTCTAATTGAACTCAGGTTCTGGGCACAGCGGCCCTCTTGTGGTGCAATGATAGTGTCCCTAACCCTGGACTGAGAGGCCTGGGTTTAGGTCCCACCTGCTCCAGAGGTATGCAATAACATCTCTGAACAGGTTGGTTAGAAAAAAACGGGTTGTGGGCACACCTTGCAAGGCTGTATTTATTACTCAACCTTAGTTGGCCTGAGAAGGTGATAGTGAGCCTTGTCTTCACACTGCTCAGCACTTGTGATGCTGATGCACCAAAACTGGTGTTAGGTAGGGAATTCCAGGATATCGGTTGCAGATGTGTTTATGTTAGGATGGTTTGTGTTTTGAGTTAATGGGCTATCGATGACATTGCTGCTCCTGTTCCTTTCTTTGATGGAGGTTGCCGAAGAGAGGAAGTGCTGCCGGTCATTTTATTGATAGTACAGCCAAAGTGTACCAGTAATATTGAAGTGCACTACCTTAAAAAGCAACTTAATGAACTTATAGAATTACAGATACCTGGAGATCATTACCCTTCATCAGATAACGTGTTAATATGCATTAATTCTGATCTAGTTTCAAATCTCCCCACAGATGAGACAGAAGTTGTCAGAAATGTGTACTGTGTATGCTGGTCCATTTTGTAAGGATTTCTGTTTAACATCTGTTGAAAGAACATTCCAGAATTGTGGTTCCATCAGTTCCTTCAGTGTTATCACAGAAACACACAAGGTACAAGCAGTCAAAGTTCAACTAAAATGGAAAGGGTCCTTTATGTTTCAGAAATTCTTAGCTACAACATGCAAAACTAGTGTGTAACAGATGTGTCATTTTTCAAATATTTTCAGTCCACTAGAGGGAGCAATGTTTGTTGTTTAACCATTAGCTTTCTCTCTCAGCACAGTTGGTGCTCATGTGAATGTCTGCCATGAATAGATTGTTCACTCCTGTGTCATAAGCAGGCCCTTTGTGATTAACTCCAATGGTACTAACAAACTGTTAGGTCAATAGGTGTATAAATAGTGGATTATGATAAATATGGCATAAATGATCGGGCCTGTGCTGGAGTTAGATGCACTGCTAGGATTAAGTTGAAGCGGGAGCTGGAAAAACTAAGAGAGAAATGAAGGCTGTAAGGATTAGAGGGGATGATAATGCCTACAGGACCTGAATAAGGAATGGGAGGTAGAGAAGCAATCGATGATGTAGAAAGTAATCCACCACATGAATTTGAGCTCTTGATATAAACCCTTTTCCTAGTATTGCCGTGTGTGTAAGAGTCGTTGGTCCAGCTGCTTCAAGCATGGTAAATGTAAAATTCTAAAATAAAGCGGAATCAGTGATGGTGTTTAAGAATCAGTGTTGGGCCATGTGCTTCTAAGCACAATATGGCAGGTACAATTGGAAAGAGTATGATGGTGTGTGTGTGCAGACACCAAGCTTACTTTAGGGAGCAAGAGCAAAAGAATGGCTACTACATTGAGAGTGGCTTTGGTAAGCACACTGTGATATCTGTAGAGCTAATCTTGAAGCACCTGCCAGTTCTTGAAAAAGTATCACCAGAAATTACCTCCTACAGTAATTCTCAACAATCCTTTTGAGTCATGTAAAACTTTCAGCCCCTTGTGCTTATTTAATGGCTAAGTTTGAGGATCAACGTCCATACTTTTGTTACACTCTCACCTAAGTATTGAAATTGTGGACTTAAGTATAACATCTAGAATAGGACTCCACTACTGTACTAGGGTACTGCAGTACTCTCTGGATACCATACTTTCAATGAAATGTTAAGCCGCGGCTTTATCTGACCTCTTATGTTGTTATTTAAAGAAGACTGGGTAATTCTCCTCATTTCCTGTCCTTCGAACATTATCACCACAAAACAGATTAACAGATCATTTACTGCTGCATGTTGGAACAGTAAGCACATTTGTTGTGATGTTTCCCCATAATACACTTCAGAAATGATTAATTTTGGACACCCCAAGATCATGAAAGCTACTCTATAAATGCTGTTGATTTTTTTAAGCATCTTGTTAGTTAATAAAGCAAGAAGTATATTGTAAAATATATAAAAGTGCATGATTTTTGCATGTAGTGTAATTTTATTTTCATTCTCTTTACAGCCCTATGTGCGTATTGAGTATGCACTCCCTGAAAGTGCACACCTTGCTGTGCTAACATTAAATGGAAGCACTATGGGTCGATTTCCCATTACGGTAACAGCACTGAAATTTGAATTTTCTTTTGCCCCTTTCAGAATTCTTTTGATAGTTGCAAAAAATTGTAAGACAAAGTCTCAGTGTCTCACAGATCAGTCCTTTTGAAGTATTAAAGCTTTGCACATGCACAATACCAGCTAAGTCACCTGTCAGTCTCTGCATTCTGCTGTAGCCTATATTTCTCGTGTGCAGTTGCCTTATTTTTAGTAATGGATAATAAATTAAATTTTGTCTGAATTTTTGCACTTAACATAGCAAGAACGTTCTCTTCTGTTTTTCAATGACTGTTATGAATCTTGAATTAGGCTCATTTGCTGTAATAAGCAAATTAATTAAATTCCATTTAATATCAAGATAAGTTAGTCAATTAATTTCATTTTGAGGGAGGATGTTTTTATTATTGAGAATTAAAATGTTACTGCCAAGATCAAACTGTTTGTAGCCATTGTCACCAATGCAAGTGTCCTAGGCTAGGTATAGTATCTATACCCATTCTGTGCCTTACCAGTGTTACAACCAAGAAGGGATGAATCATTCCTCTCTGTTTAAGCTGCCCCAGTTGACCATAACAAAGATTTTTAATTCTTTATGGCATGTAGCTATATCACACTTCATTAAACCACAGTAGTATTTCAGATTAAGGAGCTAGTTACAAAGTTCTCTCGAGTGAAAGATAAGAATGATGTTGTTAACAAACCCCATGAAAGTAATAAAAAAGCAACATCGAACTCCAACACAAGTATAAATTTTAAAAGTAGGAGACAGCCTAATGGAAAATCAAGGATAAGAAGTCCTCAAAATCCTTGAAGTGTCAGGTCTTAACGTGAGAGCACAGTTGTAATTAATTAAGCAACAAATCATGAATTAAACTTGTATCCTCAGCAGTAGACAAGTTTGTAGATACTTTTAAGTTCTGCGTGAATGGATGTTGCTCCGATTTGCTTCTCGTCGACTGTGGTCTTCTGAGAGGCTGAGAGAAATGGTAGAGATGGAGAGCAAGCCTGTCAAGTTCTGCTGTTCTGAATCCATCATCCCTTCTGTCTGCTCTAAAAACTGTCTGAAATACAGTTCATGTCTGACCTTGTTGCTGCAGGGGATTTTCATCCAGATATGTGACACTTTAAGAAAGGTATGAATCAACCAGGAGATGCAGATCTGGATTTCAATGCTTTTTACAGTTGTTAATTCTGCTTCAGAATAATTGTTGTATATTGACAGCTTCACAAACTTGGCTAAATCCGTTCAAATGACTGCTGTTGCTATCTTAAGTTAGTGTTTTTTCTTTTCAACAATCATTTTAGTCCATGAAAGATCCCAGGCATTGACTCAGAGGATAGAAGACAAAAGAAAAATGACAATCTATTTTTATCATTATTGTGACACTCTGCAGTCATTCTCCCTTTAAGTAATGTTCTGTTTCTTCATTCTTCCTGCCAATCTGAACCACTTCACATTTTCAAACATGGTAATTAATCTGCCAGATCTGTGCGCACTCACTGACCCACCTATGTATGTCCAATGTTCCAGTAAGCTGTGCAGACCTCGGAGGTCCATGCAGTAGCAGGAAAAATTAAAGGGAATATTGCCCTGTACTACGAGCTTTTATTTTCTGCAGAAAGCTTTGATTTGGCAAATGCTGTCTGGAAAACCAAATGTAGTATATCTGCAGGCTCTCCTTTATCCACAACACTTATAACTTCTTCACAGAGCTTCCAATAAATTGGTTAAATAATTTCCCTTTTATGAAATCATGCTGTTGCTTTCTAGTTACTTTGTGTTTTTACAACCTCTTCAATGATCGATTCTAACGCCTTCCCCGTGAGAGATGTCAAACTAACTGGGATATAGATTCTTGTTTTCTGCTTACCTCCCTTATTTTTTACTTTCCAACCTGATGGAACTTTTCCCGAATCTGTGGAATTTTAGAACATTTATACCAACATATCTACAAGTTCATCAGTCGTCTCTTTTTAACATCTGAGGATGCGATCCATCAACCCACAGACTTACCAGCCTGTGGCTCCATCAGTTCACTTCCCTCATGATTGTAATTTCACTCAGTTCCTCTGTCTTTTGTATCTTGATTTACAGCTATTACTGGAATGCTATTTGTATCCTTTATAGTGAAGACAGAAGCAAACTATTTGTTCATTTCACCCGCCATTTCTTTATTTTCTACTATTAACTCCCCATTCTCACTGTCTAGGGGACGAATGTTCGCTTCACTTACTCTTTTAAATACAATAGAAATGCTTGCTATCCATTTTTAATATTACCAGCTAGGTTCCTATCTTACTCTAATTACTTCCTTCAACTAACCTTTTAGTTATTCTCTACCATTCTTTATATTTTGACCAATGCTTTGACCTGCTACTTATATTGGCACAGTTGTATACTTTTTCCCTTAAGTTTGATGCTTTCCCTAGCTGTTTGATATACCACATTTTTCTACATTTGATCCTTTACCCCCACTGTTTAGTTTAAAACCTTTTCGACTTCCCTAGTGCAGCAATTTGTCAGAAAAACTGACAGCACCGCAGTTCAGTGTAGACATGCAAATAGTTCATCCCTGACTTTCCCCAGTGCTGATGCCAATGGCCCATGAACCAGAACTTCTCCCACACCAGTCTTTGAGCCATGCATTCATTCTCTCTAATGTTATGTACCCTATGCTTATAAGACCATAACAAATAAGAATAGGAGGGAGTTGTTCAGCCCCTCAAGCCTACTGTGCCATTCAATAGAAACATGGCTGTTCCGACACTGCTCTCATCCACTTTCCAGCCCTTTCCCTGGAACCCTTAATTCCTCATTGGTAATGACTCCATCTTGGCTTTAAATATACAGAAGGACTCTGACCATATGTCACTCTGGCAAGGAGTTCCAAAGATTCTCAACCCTCTGAGGAACCTATATACACTGAACCGAGGTAGTAACAGCGATTATAACCTTTTGAGGTTCTGTTTTTTAATTTAGTACCAAGCTCTTTAAATATTCAATGCCGAACCTCTTTCCTTATTCTGCTTGTAGTTGGAACCTGCACAGACCATGATGGCTGAATCCTCCCCCCTCCCACTGCAAGTACCTTCCTAGCCCTGAGCAGATTTCCTGAACCCTGACAGCAGGCAAACAACACAGCCATCTGGATTCTCACTCTCTGCTGCAGAGAATGGAGTCAAAGCTCCTCACTATACTATTCACCACAACTACTACAGCTACTCTGTCACCTTCCCTGATGTGCTGCAGAGTCCGTAGTTTGGCCACTAGCTCATTAGATCTGAGCCAAAACTACTTGAACTTTAAACAGTTATTGCAAACGTGTTAGCTCCGGATGACGACAGTGCCCAGGTGTTCCCGCACGCTGCAACATCATCCTCCATCACTAATGAGTTTTAATTATTTAATTACATTATTCACTTACTTATGTCGCTTGTTATATATTGTGTTAACTTCACCACCAATCTGTGCACTATATTAAAGCTTAAGAATAAAGTAAAACTTCTCAGGGACTCACCAAATAACTAGCTCCCTACTCTGTTGTAGAACAAGAACCAATTCCAATCAGCTCTAATTAATCTGAAAAATCAATGAATGCACTGGTGCAACAAAAAATCACTTCAGTTTCTGCAAGTTAGGTGCAGTCACTAATCAGGTTTATTGTAACTTTTTAACTGAAAAGTTGTTGGTGTTGTTAAGAAGGGATTAATCCATGATCCTGATACAGAGCTTCATGTGCTTCTGATTAACTTGAACAGGGTAGTTTTCTGCTGTAAAATTATAATACTCCAGACTGGAATGTCAAAATTCATTTTCTGTCAAACTCTTGCATGCGTCAGAGAGAGAGAGAAACTTTTCTCCTACTTGTCTAAATTGGATCCATATTGAGGAGGTAGCCTGCTGTTCAGCACTAATGTTAAATAAAATTGCTGCTAGAAACAGTATTTTTTTTCTAACTCTTCAGGTTCAAAGACCAATTAAAGAAAGCACACTGGATTGTGATCGTGTCCTAAAGAAGCTGGAAAATGATATCATAAACGGAGCAGTTATTTATGTGTCAGGAATTCAACAGACTCTGACAAAGAAACACCTCAATGATAAATTCAGCAAATTTGGACATGTTGAGGCAATTATTTACCCTGGTGGTGATGTTGATGCAAAGCCTGAGGATTGCTTTATAAGTGAGTAAATCAGTAGCATGGTTTGATAAAAGAAAATCTCAGATTCTATACAGTGAAAGTTTTCGCTGACAAGTTTTCAAATTGGTAGAAAAGACATGTTTTCACTGTGCTTCACATAGCAAACGAGTGTTGAAAGTTTTCTATAAAACTGAAGGAGTCATCATGCATTTATTGGTGTTTTTTCAATTTGCTTTTCACAAGATATTGTCTGCTGACAAGCTAAGGGGAAAATCAGAGGGGAGAGAAAGCAAGCCTTTTCTGTTCTGCAGTTATAAATCCATCATTTTTTTTTCTTTATTCTGTCCCAAAGCAATCGTCTGAAATCGATGTCCCAGTGCATTTGAATTCAATGCTGCATCAGGATGGATTGTGCCCAATGTTTTGATTTGGAAAATTTCCCCTCTGGGGGCAAAGAAAATTGAGTATAGTCCATTTCTTTCTTCAAAATATCCTAGTGGCTGTTCAGACTAGCTTTAGCAAGGACTTTGAATCAGTTTCGCAAAGCTCACTCCACTTGGAGTGGACAACTGTGCAGAATAGAGAAATAGCACAAATGGAATTGATTTGTTATATAATTTTCAAAATCAATCTTTTTCTAAATTGACCACTTGCATGGCTTGAGAATTCATGGAAACTGGTAGGATGATGTAAGAGCCAAATCTTTAGGTTATAGAAATGAATGCTTGAAATGAAACTATTTTCTTGAAATCACAATTCTAATTCCAGACTTATTCGTGAGGTCCCTTTCAAAGCACAAGTTGAGTTAGGGAACTGAAGGATTCAGATTTGTCTGGTGGATTTCTTGGGAAATTTTGCTTGACTTCATGACTTCGGTTGGAATTACTATTCTGTGTGATTTACTGTTTAGAATACGGAAGTTTGGAGAGTGCTCTGAAGGCCCAGGCAGCTATGAATGGACAAGAAGTGAGAAAACAAAGACTGAATGTACTGAGAGCTCTCACTCCCTACCACCTCCAATCCTGGGTGGCTCAAAGGTCTTACACTGCACTGAACCCCAGGACATCTGACCCTCTGCCATTAGAGAGATGTTCTTTTGAGAAGAGAAAGGAGAAACTTTCTCAGTGTGTGAGTTATTATTGTTAAACTATTTTCTTGCTCTTTCATAATATTATAAAGCTACTTGACCATGTTTGAGAGGAAGAAATGAAAGGAAGTAAGAACTACAAAAGGAGAAAGAGAAATATTTTAAATATCATATAAATCACTGAAGCCTACATTTACCATTGATTATTTTAATATTAGAAGTAAAGTAGTTTAAGAATGATGTACCCAAACTTTCAACATATAAAATTGCTTTTGCAGAAGTAGATTACAAAATGACTGTTCTTCAAAGTACCTATTAGTACATGAAGTGCTCAATGCTGACAAAACACTACAATTGATCCATACCACTGGAAAAAGCTGTTAGTCATAGCCAGCTGTTAAATTAGACATTGAGACAATTGTAGCAAATGGTAAACAAAAAACCATAAGAACTGCAGATGCTTGAAATTGGAAACAAAACCAGAAAAACACAGCAGGTCTGGCAGCATCTGTGGAGAGAAAGCAGAGTTAACCTTTCAGGTCCAGTAACTCTTCTTCAGAAGGGTCCTGCTGAAGACCTGCTGAGTTTTTTCAACAATTTCTGCTTTTGTAACAAATGGTACCCTATGCTGATACTCAAGTGCAATTTCAATCCTCCTTATTCGTTGAATTTATTATTAACAGTAGATCGAAATAGTATTATTAAATATAAGGGCTGCCAACTTGCTCATAACACTGCGCTCTGAATCAGTAGTCCAGGGCAGTGATGGTAAGAGTTAGCTGTAGAATGATGATGGAATGAATGGATAAGAAAGGATACAAATCTCACTCAGAGTTGGATGTGCTAATAATGTACTTTGCATCAACTAGGAGCAAGAATTGAAAAACTTGATGAGTACAATAGATCGACGTGCAGGCAGACTCTTCAGGGCGTTACCCAGCAACACACTCTGCATGGTCCTGCTGCCAGGAACAAACAGGTAAAACAATGCAGAAGTTTGTGTTTTAAAATTAATTAGAGGCCATATGTGATGCCAACTATGTGCAATGTTCACAACCACAATCAGGCTTATGATTCGCGCATGCTATTTTGTGAAACCAGGATATAGTCTTGATGTGTAGGTATCAGTTAGAGATTTTCTTGTATAAGCAAAATTTCTCATTTCATCACTCTGATCAGTAGAGGTTAGGTAAGTATCAACGTTGTAAATTCTCTTACCGATTACTTCATTATTCCTGATCAGTCAAAACTGTGTCTATTATGTGTGATATATATATTTCAGTGACTTGTTCACATTGCCAGTATTGTTTAACTTTTAAGTAAAATTTGAATAGCTTTCTCTCCATCCTTACTGCTTTGAAGCTGTTTATGCTGTCCCTTGAGGATAGTTCAAGGAGTGTTGGTGCTTCACAAAATGGTTTTATTCATTCATGCACTTTGGCAATGAATCCTGTCAAACTACTTAGCATGTGATGCATCTCACATTTAACTTGATCCTCACACAATATTCCACATATACATATTGAGTGGAATATTGATCAGGTGGAGGAAAGCTGGCTAATTTTTCCCTGACCCAGGACCAAGTGCCAACTTCACCCCCAGCTGAAACCAGCTAGTTCAGAACACATCTAGCTTGGGACTTGCCTAGTCTGGAGGGTCAAGAATGAGCTGGTGGGAAAGAGAGCCAGAGTAAATAGAGAAGTAAGAAAGAGTTTGCCAGGATGAACTGAAGAAAGAAGAATACCTCCTACACATGGATAAGGAAAGAGGATTACCAAACCATTTTTAGAAAATATATATTTATTATATTCAATAAGACTATTTTAAAATGTAATAGTCACTGTGGCAGCAGCCTAGTAATGCTGCATGCCAACAATAGATCATGCTTACTCCAAAAGAATGTAAATCTAATGTAAATACAAACTTCCACTGTTTTCATGTGGTCCTGATTGTGTTCTAGCATCACCAGATTTATAGCACATTGATACCTTGGTAAACAAATTTACAGTTTTTGCAGTCAGTGTACTTCTCATTGCACCTGCACAGTAATGCATTAGTGCCAGTGTATCACAAGTCAAAAAGAAAGCCTTTTTTGGGGTGCTCAGAGCAGAGTAGATTCAGAGATGATATTGGTGAAAATAATTTCCTTTTAAAGAAGAAAGTTAGTAAAATCATAGAATAATTTTGTTTTGAAATCCTGTACAGTTTTTATTTTAATATGATTTCATTGAATGTTTCTTTTCTCTCTGTAGTGCTCAATGCTCAGCGCCTGGCCTGTGTCTCCTTGAAATAAAACAGGATCCTTAAAACCAATTGTTCAATGTGTACTGGAGGTGTTTGTCTTCCGATGCTACAGACTCTGTGACTCTATAACTGACTTACTGAATCAATTAACGAGTGAATATAGTTCCTGGACCACATTCCTTTTGAGTACTGCCGAACTTGGTCAACAAAAATGACTTAGCGAAGAAAGCTGCTCAAATTTTTAATAAATTTTTTTAAAAGAAATGTTTCAAGTGTGAAAATTATGTCTTATGTGCACTATGGGTTAAGTTAATGACATTGAGCTCTTCTGATTAGAAAGCAAAAGCAGTGGGCCAAAGCCTAGGTCTTGCCAATTTTAGGTCAAGTTCACCAGAAAATATTCTTCCAGACAGCCAATTTTGACTATTTGAGCAAGTCTCATTGCAAGGCTCTCCTGTCACTGTGCAGAGATTGCAAACATGTTCCAACAAGCATGAAACAAAGTTGTGCAGCCAAAATTTCACTTGCTTTTCCCAGTCAGTACTTTTACGTTGGTTTTTTTTTGAGTTCACAGTCTTGTTTCAAACTTTTAGGAGCAAGAGAACAGAAATAGTCTATTCACCCTCTTGAGCCTGTTTCACCATTCAGTTGGACTATGGCTGATCTGTAATCTAACATCATAATTTCTAATCCTGTGCCTCATATCCCTTAACACCTTTTGGTTAACAAAAGTATGTCAGTCCCCTTATTAAAACCATAAACCATTTTGGCATCAATTTCCATATGTGGTAGGATTCCAAACTTATACTGTATGTGTAACAGTATTTTGTAATTTCACTCCTGAAAGATCTGTGCTCATGCCTCGAGACTCCCCAACAAGAAGGGATAGGGTAGCTGCTGAGAAACTATTCCTTTTAATAACTTAGAAATGTTGCCAAACCATCCATAAACCTCCTAATTCCAGGGAATACATGTTTGTTTAAACTATCCTTGTAATTTAATCTTTGAAATCTTAAATATTATTCGAAAAAACCTATGAGGAGCTCTCCTCAAACTCGCTTCATCCTCCTAAGTTGTAGTACCCAAAGCTGCTCATGGTACTCCAAGCTATGTTTGTTTAGGATTTTGTATGGCTGGAACCATGACTTTTACCCACTTATAGTTATTTAGAAATAAAGACCAGCACTCTATTAGACATTTTCATTATTTTACTCATTCATTATATTTTAATGATAAGTGTATCTGAAGTACATCCCAAGTCCCTTTGGACTGCTCATGTTTCTAGTTTTTTGTCATTTACAAAGTACCCTGTTTTATTCCTTTTTCATTCCTAAGTGGATGACCTCATATTTGTCTACATTGAAATCCATTTGGCACACAATTTTGTACATTCATTAAATCTACCAATAGATTATAAAATATTGTAATTTCATGCCTCCATTTATAATGTTTGCAATGTATTGTCAGAAAGCTTGAATGTGTAACTTTTTAACCCATCACCTGAGTCTTTAATAAATACAGTAAATAGTTGAGGCGTCAATACATTTCCTTGCAGACACCGCAAGTCACATCCTGCTAATTAGCATGTCTAACCGGTGTTCCTACCCTGTCTTCTGATGCTCCTGACCTGGTCAACAGTTGGCCTTCAATTCCGTTAGCTAGTCACTTTGGAGGAATTTTAGGAAGTCCATATAAATAACATACATAGACATTCCCTCTCCCCTGCTTTAGCCACCTCATCAAAAAATTAAATTTGGTTCTTCAGATATGACCATCCTTTTATAAACCCATGCTGGTTATTTCTGATTAGCTGCACATTTTCAAGGCACCGTGACTGTATAGACTTCAGGAATTTCCTGATGCCAGATGTTAGAGTAACTAGTGTTTTGTATTTCTACATTGTGCAGCAGTGTAAACCTAAATTTTAAAGCAACATTTATTTATATGAATGCTGTGTTCTGAGAAACTGAAGAGCGTATTGAGCTTTAATCTATTCTCATTGGAATTAATTATTAGAATTTGGCAGCTGAGCATTCCTTAAACTGTTCAGGCAGCAGTAATGCATCAAACTGAGAACACAGCAGGGCAGATTAATATTAATTTTGTTGAATAGAAGAAATGAAAAGCAAAAAGGGTCAGAATTTCAGTCTAACAAATGTTCAAATGCAGTTTGTCACTTAATTGTCCAGCATTTTTGAAATTCCTTTTGGGATGTGGGTGTTAGTGGGAAGGCCCCAATTTGTTGCCCATCACGAATTGCCCTTGAGAAGGTGGCAGCGAGCTGCTTGCTTGAACCACTGCAGCACACCGCAACTGGGAATGTAGATCCAGAATTTTGATCACATGAGAATGAAGAAATGCCAAAATAGTTACAGGCCAGGATGGTCTGGCTTAGAGGGGGACTCCACGCCCTTATCTTTCCAAGTGTTAGAAACCTTGGGTTTGAAGGGTGCTGTGGAAGGAACCTTGGTCAGTTGCTACTCTGAACCTTGTCTATAGGACACACTGTGGCCACCGTGTGTCATTGATTGATGGGTTGAATATTTAAGTTGATGGATGGGATGCCAATCAAGCAGACTGCTACGGCCCAGGTTGTGTTAAGCTTTAGAATTTTTGGATCCGCTCTCAAATCAGGAAAGTGAAGAGCGTATTCCATCACACCTCTGACTTGTACCATGTAGATGCTGGACAGACTTTCTGGAGTCAGAAGTTAGCCAGCTCAGAATTTCCAGTCTCAGAATTCTAAGGTTCACAACTGGATGTAGCAGGGCTTCCTGGTATTGGCCTAATCTGAGTCAATGCAGTGTGGAGCTGGAGGAACACAGCAGGTCAGGCAGCATCAGAGGAGCAGGAGAGTCGACGTGTAGGATCGGAACTCTGCATCAGTCCTGACGAAGGGTCCCGACCCAAACTGTGGACTGTCCTGCTCCTCTGATGCTGCCTGAACTGCTGTGTTCCTCCAGCTCCACACTGCATTGACTCTGACTCCAACATCTGCAGTTCTTGCTCTTCCCGATTGGTTTGATCTGTTTGTGATCGGAGCGCTTTGGTCTGCCTAAACGTGTTTCTGCTGTGGGAATGCAGGCAATCCTTTGTCATGGCTTCACCAGGTTGGCATCTAATTTTCAGGTACACCCTGTGATGTACATTGAGTCAGGATTAGCCATCTGATATTGTGATGGAGGTGAGAGAATTTGGCAGCCTATGGAGTTGCAGATTGCTACAGTTCTACTACAGTTCATGACCCATAGTGCCTTTTGGACTTCTGGATCTGTTTTAATCTCTGCTACTTAATATGCTGGTGGTACCAAATGACGTGACAAGGGAAAGTATCACTAGAGAGAAACGTAGGAATTGGTCCTCACAAAGGCATTTTAGTGGTCACTTCTACTGTCATGGACAGTTACATATGCAATAGACTGGGGGAGATCAGGTGAAGTGGGTAATTTCCACATATTACACTTGCTGTGATACAAATGTAGTGTTTTAGAACTTAGCCAGCTTGTTCAGTGGCTATTCTTGATGGACATTGTACTCTGAGTGGGGGTGGTCTTTTGTGTCCTTGCTACCTTCAGTGCTTCCTCCAAGTGGTGTTCAAACTAGAGGGATACATCACCTAAGAGAGGGTGGTGAGTGATCATTGGCGGGAAGCTTCTATGCCCACATTTGACCTGAGTCCATGAGACTTCATGAAATCTAAATTCAGTGTTAGTGACATGACATTCAGGGTTACCGACATCTGACAATATTGCACAATACTCTCTGAATCTCTCCTGCCAGTGGGATGGGGCATATATATGGATGGGTATAGAGGGATCCAATAGATATGAGTCAGATTTGGGAAGGTGACATAGGGATTAGGCCATTCAGCTCTCTAACCTGTGCAGCAAGATCGAGTTGATTTGGTTGTGGTCTCAAATCTACTTTCCTGACTTGTACCCCCTTCCCCATTACATTTGACCTCCCTGTCAACTAAAAACCCAAATCATTTTTGAATAAATCAATGACTCAGCCACTGTCTTCTAGGAAAGAGAATTCCACGTACTAACAAACTTCCTGGGAAAATGAAAAAAAGTCTTCTCATCTCCATCTTAAAAAGTAGGCCTCTTATTTTTAAATTGGGTCACCTAGTTCTAGTCTCCCCACACAAGAGGATATAGCTTCTGATACATAGCCTGTCACAATCCCTCAGGGTCTTGTGTTTTAATAGGACTGCCCCTTGTTCCTTGAGGTATTTTCCTAATCAACCTGTTCAGAGATGTTATGAAACACTTCCAGAGCAGGTGAGACTTGAACACAGGTTTTCTGGCCCAGAAGCAGGGAAACTGTCACTGTACCACAGAACTCTCTTCCCCCTCATTCTTCTAAACTCCTACATGTATAAACCCACTCTATCTTCATACAATAGACCCTTCATCCCAGGCTGTTAACTGGTTTGTGAGATAATTCCCACAGCTGGCAATGTTGGTGAGGAAGGTTTTGCAGGGTTGCTTGTATGTTGCCTTCTTCATGTCCTAATACAACACCAAGATCACAACTGAGTAGTCCCTCTGGTGATACCTGCTCCAGAAAAAGGTGACTGGATTGAATGGACCAAACATCAGTCAAAACAACTAATGGCTGCTCTCTGCCTGGAATTAGAAAAGTTCAGTTTAATCGAGGGTACACACAGTACAGGCTGCCCCCTTTTTAGCACAGCAATTAATCCACGCCCCATGAAAGGCAAAATCATAAACTGGTTATGCCATTTTTATGTAATTCCTCCTTTCTCAAATTCCCTGTCCTAAATAATCTTCAGAAACTATAACTAAACCAACTGTCTCAATCATTTGACCCATACGACTCTCAGTGCCGGCAGCTGTGTTGAGAAATCTAGATTTTTTTTAATGCATTCCTCCCATGAGCACCATGCAATCAAAGCATACCTTCATGAGGAATAACAAAAAGCATTTCAAACAGTCAAAAACAGTGCCAAATACAATTGAGGAGCTTGCTTTAGTTTTACAGAATTTTGAACTTGTGTTGCCTCTTCATGAACAAAGAAAAAGCAACACATTTCTAACTCTCTTGATGCATAAACTCAAAGTGAAAGCAGTGCAGTCACTTGCTACTTCAATCTTAGCAAACAGGCTAAGTAGGCTGTGTAGGAAAATCAAGTGAGGTGAAAACGAGAGAGGATCCTCACAGCTGACATCTGCTTGAACAACAACCATCACCTGTGTGAGCAACAGGCATTGGGAAAGGCTTTCCCATTGGGGAAAAAA